AAACATCAAGAAATCAAATCCCTAGTAAAATTTACTGCAGAATCAAAACGAAATTAAAGATATCAAACTAAGTTGTCTAAAACCAAAAGAGCTAAGGAATGCAGACGAATTAAAACTGTAAGGCTTCGACGAAAACAAACAGTACGAAACCCCAACATTTAACAACCTACCACAAGAAATTTTGATGAAGCATTGAAACGAACGATGAGAAAATGCTCAAGAAGATGACAAGTATTTCTATCATGAAACGTACATCAACAGCTAGACTGATTAATGTTGCAATGAAAACAGTAGCAAAACAGGGGAAACCAACAACAAATATCATTTCTCATCTGATGTTGAAACAAGACGCGACTTAACAAATAACAACTAAATACTTAACATGAGGAGAAACAAAGATGAAAAAAGAGCAGCAGTCGAAGAAAAGCAACACATATAAACGAATAAGACTATTACTAGGTAAAAATCGACAGGCACAACCAAACCCATCGCATAAAACCAACAAAGGCGAAGTAAGTTCAAAAGGATAAGTCGTACCTTTTTTCGGGCAACGAAATGGAGATGAAAGCGAGCACCAACAACACTAATTTCCACCAGTCGAAACGCGAATACCAAATGACAGAATGGAAGTTACTTGGTCGATTAGCTCATCTGGAATAAGTAAAAAAAATCTAAACAACTTTGACCATTCTTCTATAACAAACAGAAGAAAGAAGAATGTTTTCTCGAAAAAAAATCCTAATGATGCTCCGTGATAGCCCTCTCTTCAACTTTCCAACCCCTTTTCTGAAGAAGAAAGGGGTTTTTTATAGAGGAAGAGAAAATAGGGTTTCGAAGGGAAGGCCTGGCAAATGAGGGAATCCGAAATTCGGCACATTTTGAATTCAAAAATCGAATTCAAAATCTTATCCAAAGCTGAAGGAATATCCCATTTAGATGCTAAATTCCCAACGAATGGGAGGTGAGGTGGAAGACTCGGATCAATCGATCGTCCTTTGGCCTTGCGTGGCTCAAATCCGCACCGCAAGGACGAATTGTCGTGTCATTTTGTGCGTTGCAGAATGAGGCGGGAGATGTTGCAGAGGTTTTACGAGGACAACCAAACGCGTACTGGGTTGCTCACTCCGCACCTATGCGAGATAGAGAGAGGAGGGAGAGAGCATGGTGGGAGACGCGGGAGAGAGTGGAGGGGGTTTCTGGGGATTTTGCTGGGAAACGGCGACGTTTCTGGAGATATCACGTTTGGGTGTGGGGGATTTCGTGAAGAAGGAGAAAGATGGATTAGCGCGTGGGTATGGGGAAGAAGGAAGTGGGAAAATTTGGGTCGGGTTGTATTTGGGGTTTGGGCCAGGGGAAAATGGACTTGGGTTGAGGGGAATTGGGCCGATGGAGTTGGTTGGGAATCAATTTGGGGCTGAAAATAAGGAGTAAAGCTTAGGCTAAAGGAAACAAAAGGGAAGAGTCCCAAATGAGTTAAAATTAATAAGTAGTCAATTACTTTAAAATAAAATATAATTGGTATAAATTTATCGACGGGCTTATTTATTTAATAGTGACTAAAATAATCCTAATTTTAACTAAGATAGAATTATTATTAAAACAAAAAATAAAATTTCGGATGATTTTGGGATAATGTAAAATATACCAATATATACATAACTATGTAAACATTATATTATTATATTTTGCAAAATTTATAAAAGTAATTAATTTAAATTGTTTGGAAGACTTACGAAGCTCGAAAATCAACTTATACCAACGCGGGTCAAAATTAGGTGTCAACAACTGTCCCTCATTTTACTTGGGTTGATACAAGCAACTCGGGGAAAATGAAATTGACCAAACCAATTTTGACCAACCCAATTGATTTTTTAAAGGAAGGAATCGACAAAGGGTTTAAGAATTATGGTCAAACACTTGAAATAGGTTTCCTATATATCTCAGGCTATATGAGAATTCAAGCCACTTGTAGTTCGATAAGCTTGATTTACCGCATGATTTTGACAAGCAACCTCGATATCAAATTATGAAGGTATCGAAATGCTCGAGAATAGAATTCGAGAGCGAATGTTGGAATACAGCCGAGTTTTCAACATGAAATTCGCTTACATGTCCCTAAACCTTTGGAATCAAGCTGTGTGTAGTTCGACTCGATCGGTTGAAAAGGAAAGTTACTAAGCTAGATAACCTTTGGTTTTTGATAAGTGACAAATTAAACGAGTATGAAAACGAGTCTTCTAACCTCTTAGGAATGAATGTGGCGCGCTTCACACCCATAATTAAGAACTTACATGCACATACTTTCCAAAGCTCTTGGCACATTGTAGCTCAGATTGGAATCTTGCTTCCGATAAATCAAAACTTCCGGATGCGAGACTGAAACTGAAAGAACTAAATATAAAAATGCATGCTTTGATAGGGGTGGTTCGATTGTGGTGGAAGTCGCTCCTTTGCTCGCGTCCTAAGAGTTTGACATTCCTCTTTGGACAGTGTCCCAATTCGCTGCTAAGAAAAAGTCCACGTTGTGCTGCATCCTTTTTGATGTCGTCCGCACCTGTGATTTTCGGAGAATTCATGCTCTTCGATGCTCTCGGAAAAGACTAAGATAAAACTCATCAGTTTAAAAATGCAATTAGTATGGGAGACAGTGTCTTTTTACCATGTCGACACTTCATTGCTCTCCTCAATATTCGACGTTGACTCGATCGGTCCGACGTCCAGCAAATAAATCTTATCCTTGTTATTGCAATATAATCTTCAATTCTCTCTATACTTGATGTCAGAATAAACAAATAAATGTTGATGTGATATTGACGTTTCTTTTGTCGTCATCTTCGATGCTCTTCTTGATGTTTATTTTTATCAAAACAAAAGAATTCAATTGAGGCCGATTGATAAATGTTGCTCTTGGGATACACAATTTCCCTTTCTTTATCCATGTATGTCCTCTTGCGGGGCATGAATATCTTCCCGCAATACGTAAATTCCTGTGAGACATGAAATCTTCTCGCAATGCATAACTTTCAGCGAGGCATGAAATCTTCTCGCGATGTGTAAATTTCAACGAGGCATGGATTCTTCTCGGGATGCATAAATTTCAGTGAGGTATGAACTCTTCTCGCGATGTCTAAATTTCAGCGAGGTATAAATCTTTTGCGATGTATAAATTTTTACGAGTCATGGAATCTTCTTGTCGTGCATAATTGTTGACTCGCGATGCATGATTTTCCGCGATGTGTCATTTTAAACGAAGCATAGATTCTTCTCGTAATGCGCAGATTCCTGTGAGGTACGAATTCTTCTCGGGATGTCTAAATTTCAGCGAGATATGAAATCTTCTCGCGATGTATAAATTTTGACGAGGCATGAAATCTTCTCATCGAACACAATTGTTAACTCGTAATGCATGATTTTCGTGATGCATGACTTCCCGTGATGCATGATTTTCCGTGATACATGATTTTAGCTATGCATGATTTACACAGTGCACAATTTCCCATGATGCATGATTTTCCGGATGCATAATTTTCCGCAATGCATGATTTATGCGATGCATGATTCTTCACTGTATGACTTCCACGATGCTGGAATATATATATCATCTGTGCTGATGGTAACGGTAAGACGATCTACAAATAGTATATCAACTTGATTGATAATGCTAAAATAATAATAACATAACTATCCTTTCTAGGGCAATGCATTTTCTTGATTGACAAAACTTATCTTGCTTTGCTAACGCAATGCAAATAGTGTCCTTTACGGAAATCATGAGATCTTCATTTAGAGTCCCGTTTGATTCACTTTTAGACTCTGGCCTGATGCCCTTCGTAAATTTCACATTGTCGGGAATGGCTTGAAATAAACAAACCACGTTCCCAAGCACTCTGAAACAAACGATATGAACTGCCTCTTGTTCCCAGTAAAATCACATGTTTTAGAGATAGTTTTCTCCTCTTTGGGAGCTCTCCATATTCATTCGTCGGGAAAATTTGGCCGATTTCAAAGTGAAGTTATAAGCCTGCATCCACAGAAAAATTGTTAGTTTTAAAACATACTGATATGTGTCGACTCTTTCAGTTGTCTGCTCGTTGTCTTGATATCTCTGTTTGATTTCCCGATTCCTCAACTCTTGATAGATAAGAAAAAATATCTTACGCCAAAATAAATGAAACATAAAAGGGAAATTTTAAGAGAAATAAAAAGAATCTTTAAGAAATAGTATGTTGAAAAAGTTACTACCAAGTCATGTCATAACAGGCTTAACGAGTTCCTTTGAATCTGACACTCGCTGATGAGTTTCAGAGGCACTCCGGACATGTAGGGATGATTCTAACGAAATTTTAAGGCCATCCTCAAAATTTCTGTCCGAGTTCACTATCTTGCTCCTTTTTCCAATGTAACTGAACCGATCGCAGAATTTTGAGATCTTCTAAAAATTACTGTTCCAGTTGCAGATCTCGAAATGTCTTTAGTTTGACTTGCTGAAGAGAAGGCTTCATCTGGAGAATTTCTGAGTCCCTCTCAAAAATACTGTCCCTGTTCTATTGTAAACGGGATAGAACTCACCAGAGATATGACCGAACCCTTGTGGCGCCAACGTATCCAGTAAAGGCAGGAATCAGTTCAAACGTAGTTCCCCTTGAAGGTTAACAAAATAAAATTTACAATGAAACCGACCGAGGCCGACATAGGCCGCCTACGTATCTCATTCTTGAGAATTCAGGTCGAACGTAGTTCATTACAAAAAGGGATAAGAATTAAAATTGAACAAATACAAGCAAACAGAACAATTACAAGTAAATGACAGAAAATGAAAATTGGAACTTCACACATAGTATCTCTTGACAACATCTGACTTGATAGGTTTGGGCCATATGCTGCCATCTATCTCTTACAAGACAAAAGCACCTCCAGATAGTACTTTACGAACCATGTATGGGCTTTGCCAGTTTGGTGCGAACTTTCCTTTGTACTCATCCTGATGAGGAAAAATATGCTTAAGAACCAATTGACGAACATCGAAATTTCTGGCTCTTACTCTGTTGTGAAAAAGCGCGAGTCATTCTCTGTCTATACAACTGGCCATGGAAAATGGCGACCATTCTCTTCACATCAATTAAAGCTAGTTGATCAATCCGTTTATTAACCCATTCAGCGTTACTTAATTCAGCTTCCTGGATGATCCTCAAGAACGGTATCTCGACTTCAACAGGTACGACTGCCTCTGTTCCATATACTAGCAAGTATGGAGTAGCCCACTCGATGTTCTGACCGTCGTTCGATAACCTAGTAAAGCATATGGAAACATTTCATGCCAACCTCGCTGTTTGTCGATCATTTTCCTCAAAATCTTTTTGATATTCTTGTTGGCGGCCTCTAAATCTCCGTTCATTTGGGGGCGATAAGCACTTGACTTTCGATGAATAATATAAAGTCGCTAACATATCTCTTTCATCAGCTAACTATTGATATTTTCGCTGTTATTAGTAATGATAGATTGTGGAACTCCAAATCTGCATATAAAATTGTTGCGGACAAAATCGGCCACCACTTTCTTGGTTACCGACTTGTAAGAGGCTGCCTCCACCCACTTGGTTAAATAATCAATGGCAACCAAAATGAATCTGTGTCCATTAGAAGAGGTTGGCTCTATAGTACCGATGACATCCATTCCCCAAGCTACAACTGGCGAAGGCGAACTCATAGCGTTAAGTTGGTGAGGTGGTACTCATATCAAATATTTCGCGCACTTGACATTTGTGGCTTTTTTGCATGAATTTGCAACAGTCATTCTCCATAGTCATCAAGAAATAACCGGCTCGAAGAACCTTTCTTGCCAATGTAAGCCCATTCATATGTGTTCCGCAAACTCCAGCATGTATCTGTTCAATAAGCCTCACAACTTCAGCAGCATCCACGCATCTTAAAAGACCTAAATCTGGAGTCCTCATATAAAGGACTTCTCAATTTAGAAAGAAATTGAGAGCCATACAACGTATCCACTTCTTCTGATTAGATGTAGCGTTTTCTGGATATGTCCCAGATTCAGAATACCTCTTTATATCAAAATACCAAGGCAAACCATCTGGTTCAGATTCGACGTGTGAACAATGGACTTGGTGTTCCTTCAACTCTATATCCAGTGGGTCAATGTAATCAGTATCCGGGTGTTTGATCATCGAAGCGATGATGGCGAGAGCATCAGTAAATTCATTCTTTATTCAGGGAGAATTTTTGAACTCGATCTTGCGAAATATTCTACACAGATTTTGCACACACCGTACGCATGGTATATTTTTGGATTCTTCAAAGCCCATTCACCTTGAACCTGATGAATCAACAGGTCTGAGTCTCCAATGACCAGTAACTCGTAGACATTCCTGTCGATGGAAATTTTCAAACCAAGAATACTAGCTTAGTATTCAACCATGTTGTTTATGCAATTGAATCGTAGTTTAGCGGCCATAGGATAGTGCTGTCATGATTCTGATACTAAGACTGCGCCAATACCTTTACTCTGGTGATTCACCGCTCCGTCAAAGGATAACCTCCAACCGGGGTATTTTTCAAAAATATCTTCACCCACAAATGACACTTCTTCATTGTAAAAATACATCTTGAGTGGTTCATATTCTTCGTCAATGGGATTTTTAGCAATATAATCAGTTAAGACTTATTGCCTTCTGAGTCACGTACAGGATATCAAACTCACTCAACAACATTTGCCATTTTGCTAACTTTATGGTTGACATCGCTTTCTGGAAAATATACTTCAGCAGATCCATTCTGGAAATGAGATATGTAGTTTACGAAGAAAAATAATGTCTTAATTTCTAGGCAAGCCACGTCAGAGCACAAGATGTTCTCTCCAGCAAAGTGTAGCGAGATTCGTACCGAGTAAATTTCGTGCTTATGTAGTAGATAACCTTTTCCTTCTGTCTTGTCTCGTCGTGTTGACCAAGTACAAATCCAAAGGCACTATACGAAATAGACATATACAACAACAAAGGACTCCCTTCTCGTGGAGGGACCATACGGGTCGATTAGACAAATACTTCTTGATAGAGTCGAAAGCAGTTTAGCACTCTTCACTCCACTTAGTCAGGGCTTTTTTCTTCAAAAACTTGAAACTTGAAAATAGGCTCACACACCACTGTTGATTGTGCTATAAACTGGCTGATATTGTTTAACCTCCCTAAGAAACTCATCACCTCTTTTCTCGTTTTCGGCGGGGGTAACTCTTGAATTACTTTAATCATGGAGGGGTCAAGCTCACTACCCCTTCTGCTGACTATAAATCCCAACAACTTTCCAGCTAGGACTCCAAAAGCACATTTGGTGGGATTTAACTTCAAGTTGTACCGACGGAAACGCTCGAAGAATTTTATCAGATGTGTAAGATTTTCTGAACTCTCGCGGGCTATAATTACTGTGGTTCCCTATTTCCTTCTTCATAGTCGTCAACCTTGCTGTTATCTTTATCATTTGGTTCATTTAGCTTATGACATGACATGACATTGGCAGGTTTGTAACTTATGTTACTTAAATCATAAACAGACAAAATATAGGAGAATAAAGTATAACAAAAAACCCAATAAACAAAGTTAAAAATAAGGAGGCTTTCATCTAAAAAAATGCAATCTTTGGTAATGGCACAGGGCCATGTAACTTTTTAAACATCACAACAAAAATTTAAAATTTGAACAATTAAGAAAAATGCAGAAATGGTGGGTCTCGGGCCTCTTCCGGACAACCACCGATTTTAGTATGCATAAAATAACTCCTTTCTATCTAAGAGTTCGGGACATCAGGATTGGCGTGGAAGTCCAATTCTGCAGCATCTCCCCTTGTTCAGCATCACAAATATCAGCTGGCTCGACCTCCTCCTTGATAACAACATTGATCTCCTTGAAAAGTTCAAACATTCCCTCCCCACAGTATCCAGGCTCGGCATACCCCCGGATTGGAAAGGAATGATACAGATATGGGATTGGTTTAGCCAACCCTTTATCCTCTTTCTTCTTAATCATCGCATCGTCATCTGTGGGGGTGTACCCTAAACCATATTTTGATCCTTTAACAAGGACTAGAACAGGTTTGATAATCCCTTGGGAATTTCTTCCCAATCCAAAACCTGGATCGAACCCACTCTACAACATTACCGTGGAAATCATTCTATACACAGGTGGCATGGGAATCTGCGGGGTCAAATCCTCATCGGTGGCATTTACCAAATGCACCGTGTAAAAATCCGAACCTTGCGGCATCTTGTCAAAGACGAGAATCTGCTCTCCTGAGTGGCTTCTTTCAGTGTGAACAACTAGCTCCTCATTTTTCCATACTAGCTTCATCATTTGGTGAAGAGTGGAGGGGACGGCTCCAGCCATGTGAATGAATGGCCTTCCAAAAAGAAAGTTATAGCTTGTGTCGATATCCAACACTTGGAACTTCACCTCAAACTCTGCAGGGCCCATTAAGAGGGTCAGGTTCACCGCCCCTAATGTGTCATTTTCGACACCATTGTACGCTATTACATTAGCCTGGTTTTGCTCTAATTTCCCGAGGTCCAATCTTAGTTGTTTCAATGTAGATAAGGGGCATATGTTCAAACCAGATCCATCGTCTACCAAAACACGATTGACGACCTTTCCGTGGCATATCACAGTGACGTGTAGAGCTTTGTTATGGGATCTCCCTTCCGCTGGCAATTCATCCTCGCAGAAGCTGATGCGGTGTCCCCGAATGACCTGATGAATCATGGAAAATACGTTATCGCTGCTTGTACCTGAGGGCACGTACGTCTAATCAAGGGCTTTCATCAAAGCCTGTCCGTGGGACGAGGAGCTCATCAGTAGGGCCCACACAGAAATTTGAGCCGGAGTCTTCTCCAAGTGTTTGACAATGGCGTAATCTTTAGGCTGCATTCTTCTCCAGAACTCCTTGGCTTCTACTTCACTTATTGGTCTCTTGGCAGGGTCTTTATTTTGTCCTCCGTGAGGAAGCTCATCATGAGAGTAGCATCTTCCAGACCTAGTCATGCCTTGGGCCACAACCATTTCTATGACAAACTTGGGTTTGGCAAAAGTTTTTGAGGGCACCAAGGCAACAACCTTCTTAGGTGTCAGAATAACGAACTCTCTTTTTTCCTTGACGCTTAAAGAAGAGAGAGCCTTTTCCATGTCTTCCTGCGCAACAGGAATAATCCTCTTGACTTCACACTCGTCTTTGTCCGTCTCTATCATATTAATGTTTCCACCCCTATTATTCGGCTATGGATTCGTATTGACATTCGGCGCCGCAGGATGGATGGACACTACTTCTTGGTCAATCAGATCCAGGATCTTGTTCTTAAGATTGATATAGTCTTCTGTATCATGTCCATGACTTTTTGAATGATATGCACATCTCTACTCCAGATTGTAGAACTTGGAGTAGATAGCCACGTGTTCGGCCCCAAAGGGTGGATGTATCTGGTCGCGGGTAATCATTCGAATAGCTTGGTCCGGCTTTCATCCAGAACAGTAAAGTTTCTCGAGGGCCTCTTCTCAAACCTGGGACAACAAGGATCATACCCGCTTTGTTGAGGGGGAGGAACTTGTTGATAATTGCGAGCATTTGGGCTAGGAGCTTGGGTTCTAGGGTAGGGATTTGTCTTGAAATTTTGTACTGGATCTTGGTAATTCAGGAGGGGGCTTTGATATGCTAGCGCTTGGACTTAATATGTTGTTAGAAGGTTCTCTATAGCTTGACGGTATGTTAGTGCAGCTAGGAGCTATATTCTTGTAAGGGGGAGGAATTTGATAAGATTGAGGGTAATTTTTGTACACTGAGAAAATTTTAGAGATTTGGGGGTGGATTTTGATATGAAAAAATTGGGCATCTGGATAAGTGGGGGCAGCATTGTAGTTGCCAGAATGATTTGATTGGGGACGATAGGCTTGGTGAGACTTTGGTGGAGGCTTGGAGCGGTCTTGAGGACTCGACGAGTTCCTGGGGAATTTTCTCCCCCCCGTATGAAACAGCGGCAACCTCCTCTCTATTATTCCTCATCAGTCTGGAAGATCCAAGTGATGCGGATACTCGGGCTATCTTCCCCGACTTCAGGCCGTCTTCGATAGTCTCACCAACTTTGACTATCTCGGCGAATTTGGATCTGATTAACAAAATCATTCTGTCATAGTATTCGGGCTCTTGCACCCGTACGAACACTTCTACAATCTCCTTTTCAGTCATTGGAGGCCTCAACCTCTCTGCCTCTTTTCTCCATCTAAAGGCAAATTCCTTATAGCTTTCTGTCGATTTCTTCTTCATTTCCTCTAACGAATATCGATCATGGACTATCTCATCATTTTACGCAAATCCATCATGAAGTCTTTAGCTAGCGCGCTCTAACTGGGCCATTTCTAGGTTTCTTGTGACGTAAACCATTCCAAGGCCTCCCCGCACAGACTCTGGCTGAACAACCTCATATGTAAAGTCTCATCTTTGCCAACTCCCACGAGCTGGTAGCAATACGCTCTGAAATGCGCCATGGGGTTTCCTACCCCTCCGAAGGTATGAAACTTGGGGATTTTGAACCCTCCAAGAAGGTTCAAGTTTTAGTGAATACACAATTCTGCATAGCTCAATCCGGCGACATCTGGAAGGCATTTCAACTCTTTCATTGACCTTTAAATCTCCTCATTTATGTTGATCATTGATACT